ATTTTTACGTAGTGCGAATTTACTATTTAGGATGTTGATCATTGCAATATTTGGTAATTCCAAATTTGGAAAAAATCCTGACTTATTAGCTAATATTTTAGGGGGTGGGGGGATAACAGCATAATGGACATTTGATTTCATTGGCTAAATTTTGTGATATTTGCGATTACCCCCTTTCCAAAAGTCACACACAAAATTAATTTCTATTGGTTTAAAAATTGTTACATATTTGCATTTTTTTAACAAAGTAAATATTCTTTTTAATAAAGAACTGTTTGTTTTTTAACAAGGTTTTCTTTGTAATTAACAAAGTGACAGTCTTTCTTTGTTTTTCTAACAAGAATGAATTTTCTTCAGCATATATAACAAAAAATTGTTTATAAAAAGACAATAAATTTGTAAAATTTAACATTGAAAAAAAAAATAATAAAATAATAATATAAATACAATCATAAACATAATATTTTAAATAATTTAAAATGTCTCCTAAAAATCCTGGTCCATGTGTTATTGAAGGTTGTGGATCCCAGGGTCCATTTAGAAAATTCACTGAAAATGCCAAAAATAATTCTATAATATATAAAACACATGAAACTTATAATTACCTTCAAATTAATGAATTTGGAAATGTCAGAGAGCCTTTGATTATCGAAAGTTTTTGCTAATAAGTATGACAATTTTAGTATAGCAGAAGCTTTTTTGGTGTAAAAATTAAAAAACCCTAATATAGTAATGCAGATGGTTTTTTGTACTGTATAAATAGATCATCATAAGAGCAAACCCCCCCCCCCCCCCGAGTTTTTAATCGTAATAATTGTTTGTTAACTAATACTAATTAGTAAAGACATAGTTTTTATATAATAACTAGAATATTGAAATTGAAGTATTTGTATTAAATAAATACCTTGAAACCGTGAGATTTGGACACGATCTCACAATATTAACAGTTCAAGTTCAGTTCAAGTTCAGGGTTCAATTGAACCTGAACCGAACCAAACCAAACCTAGGAACACTACTTTATTGGACAAAAGCATATTGTTTGTAATACTCCAAGATGTATAACCACCATTAGGATTTGACCTAGTTGGAGACATCATCTTCACCATCATCTTAATAATGTAATAATAATAACATAATAATATTGCAACTAAAATATTATCGCTAATAAAACACATAACACTTTTACATAAATTATTTTGACTGTGAAATAATTAATTAAATTACTCTACAAAACCTTTGCTGAAAAGCAAGACTTAGTGGATCTTAATTGTTAAAGGATATTACCAAGGGGACACCTTTGGAGAATATTGGATAAGTACTTGGTGTGAATTAAGCTAGCAGTATACTTAAATAATTAATAGGAAAGCCTTTTATCTTCTTGATGGTGAGTTGGACATAAAGGTCACTAAATCCTTGATGGAGAGTCGGATTAGTATAGGAAAGCCACAAAAGCCTCGGGTTATCTTTGATGGCAAGTCAGATATATAAGGAACTTCTAATTAACTTGGGATTTGGAATCCAGAACAACTTAATTAGAGTCACTAGTGGGTTACAAGAATAGTTAACTAATATTAGGTAAGGATACTCAGATTGCATGCTTGCAATATAAAGTTCAAGTATTTGGCATTTGTGAAGATTTTAGACCCAGACAGGTAAAATAATAATTTTTTTGAAAATTCTTAATCACTCTTTAAACTACAGTATATAATAACTATAATTATTATTTATTTAGATTAATTATCTTATAGAAGAATCACAGTATATTGGTAAAGGAGCTGATGCTGTGATTTCTTTAGTTCATAATTATTTTGAACAACATAGTCTTGATGAAGAAGAAATAATAATTCATGCAGATAATTGTTCTGGTCAAAATAAAAACAATGCAATGATTCAATATTTGGCCTGGAGAGTGTTAACAGGTAAACATAAAAGAATTACATATTCTTTTATGGTAGCTGGCCATACCAAATTTAGTCCTGATGGTTTTTTGAAACTTAAAAATTCTGAAGTTGATGATTTAGAGGACTTTGTTAATGTTGTAGAATCATCAACAAATGGGTACAATAATGCTCAAACAATTTTGATGAAAATGGTGAAAGAAAAGTTTTTTTCCACAGCTGGACTGAATATTTAAGAAAATTTTTTCTGTGTCTTTATTGTTGTTATCAATGGTTTCATTACTTTTGCTACTATTAGTATGGCTGCTAGAATTATTATCAAGTGAAACCACTGATTCAGGAACACACCAATGTTTTCCCTCCACATCTGAAACACTGATGTGAATTCAATATGGGGTTTGATATTCTACCAAAAATGATAATTCTTTAATGTCATCTCCATGTTCCAGAATCATTTCAACATGTTCTGGAGGAAGTGCTAGTATTCCTTTAATGGAAGTTGAGGTGGTGATTAAATTTTTTAAGAAATAGCCATTATTAATTGGTTGGATTATAGCACACCAACTGTTAACACATGCAAAAAATCATTTTGTTTAGCATAATGGAAGAGAGACAATCAATTATACATGATCTTTATAACCTATTGCTGAGATGCTGATATATTGCAGATTGCACTAATTATTGTATCCTATAATAAATTCAAAAATTTTAGTAATCTTTGACATCTCAAAATGAAATTTTAATGCATACATGCTTACTTGTCATGCCAAGTAAACGTTTCAACTCAATCAACTCCATATTCAGAACTTTTTCATTGCATCCCATTCTGCTCCATGCAAAGTCAATCCACCACACAAGAGTCTTACCCACCAATCCATCTCTCTTTACCATTACATTCTCTAATCTGACATCTCCATGCATTACCCCTCTTGCATGTATTGCTTGTAAGCCCAAAATAGCCAACTTCTTCTCTTCTTTTGTGACATTATTTCCTAGCTCTGCAAAAGATCTTCCGGCAAATGGAATAAAAATAAATACAAAAGCTTCATGAAGAACTCCATATTTTAGAAGCTTTGGTATGAAAATTTCCTGGATGTCCACAAGAGGTCCAAGGTAGATTTTAATTTCATTTAGCATTTCAGTTACCAGATACTCCTTTTTATACAAGTCAACCATTTTAAGAACACCTATTTTTTCATAAAACTTGGCTGTAAAAACAGCACCAGATCGACCACCTCCCAACAAATCACCAAAAGAAATTTGGTTACGTTTATAATTTTTCATGTTTTTCAGAAGTTCATCATTGCTAATTGCTGTTTCTTTACCTTTTTTTGACATGCTACGAGTGAATACCCTCAAAGCATTCTTAAAAACACCCTTTTTCTTAGAACCTGATGGCCCATCATCCTTTCCATCATCCTTGTCATCATCACTAATAGTATCTTCACCATCATCACCACCAAAATTGTCATTGTCTTCAGTATTAGGTGGTGAAGAATGTGCAAATGAGTCTGTTGTAGATATATTTTCAAAATAACGTACACATTCAGAGAACGAGGCATAATTATCTGTGTGGCCCTGATTGATATAAACTGCAGGAGAAATGTAAATTATGTCCGGATTTCGAGATTGACAGTAAAAAAACCATGTTCGAATGTATGTTGTAAGCAAGCCATATTGTAGGTCATTAACAACCATATATCCAAATATTTGTCTAATGATTCTAATAATTTTTTGATGCCTATTATATTCTGTTGTTCCATCATCATCCACTGTCAATGCTGTGTTATATGCCTCAGACAATTCAGCTCCATCTTTTATCAAACTTCTCATTAACTGTTCAGGTTTAACTTCTACTATTGAAAGTATCTGAGAGGCTTTTAAATTTTTCAAGAGGGTTTTATTATCAGCACTACAGCGTATTGCATCTGGTTGACCTTTAACTCCTTGAAACATATAATGCTTACCCCAACTTTCTGGTCTGTGTAAAAGAATTAATCTTTTATTGTTAATAGCAGCCATCGTATTCAAAAACATATCAACAGCAGAATCTTCAACATATAAAGCACCATCGATGTCAGGCTTGCTAAATATACAGTTGCTTGTGTCAAGAGTTGTTGATGCATTAAAGGCATTAGCAAGAAAGTCATTCCAGATCAGAACTGGTTGATTAGGAACTTTCCTTGTTGCTGCCTTTGTTGTGGTCTTTGTCTTAATTGAAAGAAGTTCAGGGGTGGGAATAACTACTCGGAAAAGTTCTTGTTCCGTTAGCTCTGATAGTGCAAATGAAAGAAGAGAATATATAAGGCACAAAAATAATGTAGTTTAAGTTTGGAATATTCAAAAGCAATTTCATCAACTTTACGTTTGATTGCACCTAAATGCATATTTTTTATTATTAAAAAGAATTGAAATTAAATTATTATAAAAAAAATAATTCTTTGTATATTTTCATTACCTTCACCTTTACCAAATTCAATCAACGCATTCTGCAAATTTATCACCTGGTCTCCCCACTTCTTCTTCTCCGCCTCCAATTTCTCTTCTTTCTTCTCCAAATCTTTTATTTCACCTTCATAATCTTCCTTCTCCCCCTCCAAAATTTTCTTTTCTTTTTCATCTTTTCCACATCTTATTTGATTATTCAATTTTCTCACTTCAATCTTCAACTTTTTCAGCCGTTTCCTGTCATCTTCCCCTTCCTCAAACTCCTCCAACTTTCTTTTCGCCTCTTCATGGTTTCCTTCTGCCTTTTTTAACTGCTCTTCGATTTTTTCGATTGTCGCCATTTTTTAAAATTTTAAAAAAATTTTTTTTTCTTGTATTATTTAGCATAATGGACATTTGATTTCACTGGCTAAATTTTGTGATATTTGCGATTACCCCCTTTCCAAAAAGTCACACAAAATTAATTTCTATTGGTTTAAAAATTGTTACATATTTGCATTTTTTTAACAAGTAAATATTCTTTTTAATAAATAACTGTTTGTTTTTTAACAAGGTTTTCTTTGTAATTAACAAAGTGACAGTCTTTCTTTGTTTTTCTAACAAGAATGAATTTTCTTCAGCATATATAACAAAAAATTGTTTATAAAAAGACAATAAATTTGTAAAATTTAACATTAAAAAAAAAAAATAATAAAATAATAATATAAATACAATCATAAACATAATATTTTAAATAATTTAAAATGTCTCCTAAAAATCCTGGTCCATGTGTTATTGAAGGTTGTGGATCCCAGGGTCCATTTAGAAAATTCACCGAAAATGCCAAAAATAATTCTATAATATATAAAACACATGAAACTTATAATTACCTTCAAATTAATGATCAATTATGTCAATCACATTATTTATTAATTGTAGAGCCATATAGAGGAAGAGATGCTGGTAAAAAATGAAGATCAGAAGAACTTGATGTAATCTATATTGTTGAAGATGTGGAATTATTTCATATTTTGGAAGATTCAACTGATGATATTGAAGCAAATTTTGATTATTGGTCAGATATAAAAGTTAAACGTCATGAAGATAATGTGACTTTATCAAATGAAGATTTTGCTCTTCTAGTAAAAAAAATAAAAAAGATGCAAGAAAAATTATGTAGATATGAAAATAAATTAAATGAATTTCATGAGAAAATTAAATTATTATCTAATGTCCTATATCAAAGACAAAGGCAATTAAATTTAGATATTGAGTTAGACCCTGAGAATTTTAAAAATATGATTGAACAACATTACCAAAAATTAAAGGGTTTTTTTGATGAATTAGTAAATATTTTTTTACCTTCTAATAGATCCACATATAATATAGAAAATGCCAAAAAATCACTTGTTGGATTTTGTTATTTATTAGCTGGTCTAAGTAATAAATTTAATAATTCCCTCCAATTAGAAATTGGCCTTTATTTATCTTCATGTGGAGCAACCACAGAATGCATTGATGTGATGGCAAGACTTGGTATTTCAGTATCATACAAGACAGTAGAAAGATATAAGAAAAAGATTGCAAGTAGACATCTAGAAAAAATAAATAAGTATTTTGAAGAAAATAAAAATAAATTATTTTGCTTCAATATTGATGATTACCATTCAATTCATAGCTTTAGACAACCAAACATGACAACACTTTCAACAGCTTTTCATATGGCTACTTGTGTTTCTAAAACTGTGAAAGATAGTGTAGCTGTATTGGCAGTTAGTAATGATGTTCCAATACATAATCCTGCAAATATTGAAGATTGGCGCATTAATTTTTATTTAATAAATGAATACATTGATTCATTAAGTAATAGTTACAATTCAGTAAAATTAAGTTGGCTAAAAAATAATGCAAATACCTTTAAAACATTTGATAGGCTAGAACTTTTAAGAATCCATTCATATGATGATGCTATAGAGGAATGTCAAAATGATAGATCTATGATGGACTGCCACTTAATTAATATAAAAGAACAAAATCTTAAAAATTTAAATGATTATTTAAATGTTCTTAAGATGATTATAGAGATATCTTCATTGAATGATTACCTCCAACATTATGTTATACCAGTTGTTGCTGATTTTCCAGGTCAACTATTTATAAGAAGAGCAATAACTTTGTTTCATAAACAAAAAAATGGGGAAAATGTTTCAACACAGATACCTGAATTTAATAATAATTTTATCCCAATACTTGGTCCATTACATGTATCATTGAATATGAGAGAAGATATTGTAGCATCAGTTCACTGGAAATTTTTTGAAAAAATGTTTAAATCAGTTTTTGGTAAAAAAAAAATATTGGCAAAAAAACCTAAACCTACCAGAATCAATATGCTTTTAGAACTTGCAAGTTCAGGGTGGAAAGAGATTGCAAAAGAGATATTTTGCAAATTTGGCCCACTTTGTAAAGATGTAGAATTCCAAACATTAATAGATCTCTTGGATAATTTAATACCTGCTGCTTTAGATATCTACAGTATAATCTTTCGTTCAGGCTCTTGTGATCAGTATGTAGATACAAGCTTCAGATTGTGGACATTTGCATTAAGGTGGAATAGAAAAAATTATAATAAAATCCCATTAGCATTCCTTTCTGATTATTTCTATTGGAAAGATAAAAAACACCCATTTTTCGAAGAAATTCAAACTCACCTCGTTAATTTTAATGATTACTATGTTGAAAATTGGCATAGTAAAATTAGAAGAAACACAAGTCCACATCATTCTTCTGAAGCCATAATTTCTCAGGCATATGTATTAGAGTCCAATGAACAGACATTCTTTAACTTGTTTAGAAAATTTAAAAGTTGTCCATATAAAGAATCCACCATAGATTATTTAAAATATAAAACTAGTATATTTTTAATCAATTATTTTCATCTAATTTATAAAAATATGGGAAAAAGTAGAAAGGTTAAAAAGAATGAGTATCATCTTGCAACATTAAATGAAGATGTAAAATTACAATGCTTACCAGCTGGATATCATAGTTCTAAATCACCATCTAATGATAGCTGTGACTATTGTAATCGAAGATTTGAAATTAATGATGAACATGAAGGTATAATGTTAATATGTGGTCATGCTTACCATCATAGATGTTTTGGAGAAAAAAAAAACAGGTGTAATTATTGTTTGGAATTTTATAAAAAGGGCATTGTCTCAAATGTAAAATCTTATATAAATAGATTAGAAAAAGATGATGCTGTTAATAATGAATTATTGCTTCATGAAACATCAAATGAAAAGAATGAAGAAGATGATGATAATGATGAGTATGAAGTAAATGAAAATGATAAAATATCATTAGATTTTAGAAATGCCTTAGAATCAATAAAAACTTGGTGATTCATAAATTTTATGTAAAAAGTGAAATTACTTACATTAACACGTCTAAATAGAATGAAGAGGCCTTAAACATTTGCTTCTAATAAAATTTTCGTGCCTCACAATTGGCAATCATGAATAGAAAAAAAGGAATAATTTTTATTAGTTACATTGCCAATAATAATAAAAACAATATATAAAAAAGTAAAAAAATAAAAGTTGCCAAGTTGACAGGTTTAAATAGATCACGGAAACCTTAAACTTTCATTTCTAATACAACCTACTTAAATCCACTTGATCGACTTGATCGGGTATTGCCAGAATGTAAAGAAAAGTTGAAAATATATATAAACGTAAAAAAATGTGTGTGTTTCATAAAATGGTTTTTGTGCGCAGTCACGAGACTATTTCTATTCTAAACTCAATTGAAATAGCATGTTTCACAATATAAAAAAGATTGACGATCGATTTTGTCACAAAGTGATAAAACGAATGTCCATTATGCTCATATGTTTTCGTTATGAAAAATTACACATAACACGATCGCGTGAAATGTCGTCCGACTATTATGACTTTCTGGTGTGGGAGCTGGATTTAAAGTTATTTGAGCTAATGAAAACAACAATACCATTTGAGAAACTTATAAGCACAATCACCCAAAAACTTTTTAGATACTCGTTCAATAACATATAAAAAATAGTGAAATACCGGACCGCCTTGTCAAAGTTGGTCATTAGCCAGAAGCAAAAAGGGAAAAAGAGGAATTAGTGATAAGAGAGGGAAATTAATCCATGAATACTTGTGAATTGTTAGAGCAAAAATAGATTTTTATTTAGTTAAAGATGTAGCAATTACACATTAAACAACAATCACTTGTCAAGTTGATTTACAATAAACAAAATAATAATAGAATGATTCTTGTTTGCTTTATCAAAAGTTTTGGTATGATTGTTTGGGAACATACTACAGGCAAGACAGTAATAACATTTATCTTTTAAATAATTTTCTTCATATTAAAACATTTGAACATTAATTGCTAATAATATATGGGGTCTGTACTAGGAAAATCGACCTTCCAGCTGATTTTTTTTTTTTTGAGTAATTGTTGATCAAAAATTTGACCAATAAAAATTTATTACTATTTTTAGATTTTGATGTGCTCAAAAATTTTTATTAAAAAAATTCCGTTATATA